CTGGACATGAAACTAGGACAGGCTTAGGAACGAAGGCTAAGAAGTCCTTCTCTGCCTTCACTTTCTCTCTCCAACCTGAGCCCCCAAGCCTCTTGCTGGTGAGTTGTCCCCCTGCCTTCTCCTAAAGTGTTCTCCCAAAGGTCACCCAGGAACCATTTGGTCATACATTTGATGACCAAAGGGGTCCCAGCAACACCAACTCCCAAAGAGCCCTCAGCTTCTCCAGCCCCCAAAGGCCCCCAGCAACTCCATCTCCTAAAAGAACCCCAGCTAAAACTCCATCCCCCAAAGAGGCTCAGCTACACCAGGCCCCAAAGTGGCTTCTACTCCTTCAGCTGTGGACTCCTCCAGCCCCCAAAGAGCTCTCAGCTACCCCAGCCCCAAAGGAACCCAATCAACTTTCATCCCCCCAAAAAACCCCTCAGGCTGCCCCAGCCCCCCAAAAAGGGGCCCCAAAAACTTTCATCCCCCAAAGAAAACCCCAGCCCCCAAAGGGGCCCCCGGGAAACTCCATTTTCCTAAAAGAACCCCAGCTAAAACTCCATCCCCCAAAGAGCCCTCAGCTGCCCCAGCCCCCACAGGTGGCCCAGCAATCCCATCCTCCAAAGAGTCCCCTGCTTTACCAGTTCCAGTCACATGTCCCTTGGGATCCACTGCCCCTCAGGCATCTAAAGGGCTCCCAATAAAGGAAGGCTCCACAGCTCTCAAAGCAGTACTTACTGGCCCAGCTTCAGAAAATGCACCAGTCATCATAGCTCCCACTCAGAAAGGTCCACCAGCCAAGAAGAGTTCACCTCCTGTGTGCTCAGATCCCTCAGCCAAGAATGGTACTAAAGGACCCCTTTCTACAGTGGCTCCTCCAACCCCTCTACTGGCAGTCTCCACTCAGAAAGGCACTTCTCCAAAGGGTCCCTTGGCTCCTCATCCAAAGTCTGAGACATCTACGCCTCTAGCAACAGCGGCTTCTGAGAAGGTCCTTCCTAAAGCTGGATCAGCACCTGTCTCTCCAGCACCCACCCCATCAGTCTCTCTGCCTCTTGCTCCCTCCCCAGTTCCCCCTCTGCTTCCTAAACAGCAACCTCTGCCGTCCTCACCTGGGCTGGTGCTGGAATCATCCTGTAAGCCCTCAGCCCCCGCTGATGAGGATGAGCTGCCGCCTCTGATTCCCCCGGAACCAATCTCGGGGGGAGTGCCTTTCCAGCCGGTCCTCGTCAACATGCCCACCCCCAAACCTGCTGGGATCCCTGCCCCAACCCCCTCTGCCAAGCAACCTGTTCTGAAGAACAACAAGGGTATTTGCCTTGGTTTGCTGTGTGCATGGTGTGTCGCCCACACTCCTCCTGGGGGCTACCCACCATTACTAACCCTAGGATGCGCCACTTTCTCCAGAATATCTGCTTGTGTTTGAACATAGAACATAGAATTAGAATGATCATTTTAAGTGCAACAGCTCTAGGAATGTGGAACAATCTTGGTTTTCATCATTTCAGATAGTCCATTGTGTATCATCTTGTGTAATGGGGATCCAGACTAACCCTGAGTTTCCATCATTTTACCTAACTGATGTGATGTTGAAAACCAAAGACCTTCTAGATCTTAATCTGCTCTAATTTCTACCACATCACTAACCTTGTCCCTGGGCCTGGGATTTGCTAAAATATTGGGAAGCTATTGAATATTGGAACTATTTGAATTTCTGTTCACTTCTTGGAATTAGTAAGGACCAGTGCCCAGGGACTTCCTTTGTTTAAAAGACCTATTTTCCCTAGCCTGAGAATGGTGTAGGTATATGCTTTTTTCCCTCAGTAGTCTATTGTGCTTGGCCTTTCAATTGAGGAAAACTTAAAATATATGAATTATGTTTGAAAGAAATGGGAGAGGTCACAGGACGATAACTAGTAAAGGTGACTATTGGAACTGTAGGTTGGCATCATTGAGAGAATCTTGAAGTACTATTTATTAGGTCAAATTGCTGGGGTCAGTGGCTTGAAAATAAGGCTAAATGTGTGTACATAACTGCTTCTGGCCTCCCCAAACGCAGTTTAAAGGATAAGGGGAAAGTTCCCTTCCTCATCTGCTGCCACAATGTGAAAGTGTTTTTCACTTCCGTGTATCTGCAGACACCTTGTCTGCCAGAACCTTTCTGGGATGGTTGGGCTATTGGATAGTGGTTGGAGTTACATAGGTCATTGGTGTTCGCCTATGCCAAGAAGTGAAGGCCTTGAGGGAAATGAAGCAGTTATAGCATATAAACTGTTCAGCTGAATCTAGTAATTACCTCTCATTTCTGGGGCTGGGTCTTTAAGAATGTATACACACTAGTTTGTGACTTAAGTAGGGGGCTATCAAGCTGACTTTATACAAGTCAGTTGATTTACATTTAACTTTAAAATAAGCCAGTGACCTCTAGTCCAAGCAGGCCATGGTGTGACAAGCCTCCTTTTAATCTCCACTAAAAATTACTAAAAATTATTTTGCCTCCTAGGGTCTGGAACAGAATCTGACAGTGATGAATCAGTACCAGAGCTCGAAGAACAAGATTCCACACAGGCAACCACACAACAAGCCCAGGTAGGTATTCTCTTACTCATTGGTATAAATACTTGGAATAAGGAAGCACTGCAGAACCAGGGTTGACCAGAGAAGATGACTTACATATCTGGAGCTGTAAACTTTCATAAAGGGAAAACCACAGGGGGATTGTGGAATCCAAGTCTTACGTTTCAGCTTACTGTTTTATTTTAGCTGGCGGCGGCAGCTGAAATCGATGAAGAACCAGTCAGTAAAGCAAAACAGAGCCGGAGTGAAAAGAAGGCAAGGAAGGTAATACTTTAAGTTATAAACAAGGACTGGTGCCCAGGGACTTCCTTTTTTTTTTTTTTGAAAGACCATTTCTGATGAAGCAGCTTCAGAGGACAGACTCTGGGTGGGAGTAGAATCGTGTTTAGTTAAAGTAACAGAAGCTGTTGTGGCAGGAAACCCAGAAGTCCTGGGAATCCATTCTGTATTCTTACATAAACTTTTCTTAGCCCAGAAAAAGACTTTCTTTTTGGATGTGGTATTACTGTGGTCCTTACTTCCTGGCGCTGCCTCTAAAAAATTTGAAAACCTGATGTTCTTTTGTTCCTTAGGCTATGTCCAAACTGGGTCTTCGACAGGTTACAGGGGTTACTAGGGTCACTATACGGAAATCTAAGAATATCCTCTTTGTCATCACAAAACCAGATGTCTACAAGAGCCCTGCTTCAGATACCTACATAGTTTTTGGTGAAGCCAAGGTAAGGGAAGTTTTCATGGGAATTGCTCTAGACCAGGGTTTCTCAAGCTCAGCACCATTGATATTTTGGGTCAGTAATTCTTTGTTGTGGAAGGGCTGCCCTATGCATTATAGATGCTTTATTTAACAGGATCACATCCAGTTGTAATTTTAAAAAAGCAAAAACAAAAAAACTCCAGATATTGGACAGATATCCCCTCCAGTTGAAAATCACTGCTTTAAACATAAGCTACTTCTACAGTGATCTATAATCTGAGTGAGGGCAAACTATTTAAAGCTATATAGCTATAGTAAGTTAACCTGAAGTGAGTTTAGAGTGCAAGTTTGGAAAATATGTAAATGATTTCTTTCACTTACTACAGACAGATCTGTTCACATGAATCTCTTATTTTCTGTTCTACAGATTGAGGATTTATCTCAGCAAGCACAGCTAGCAGCTGCTGAGAAATTCAAAGTTCAAGGTGAAGCTGTCTCAAACATTCAAGAAAACACACAGACTCCAACTGTACAAGAGGAGAGTGAAGAGGAAGAGGTATATAAGGAAATCTTTTATACTTTTAATTCTTTCCAGGTAGTATTATGTTTGTATTGATGGGTGGGTTCTATATTGTTTTAGTCTCTTAAGTCCCATTGAGTGAAATAGTTTTTGAGTTAAGACTGACTCCAACAAACTATACTGAAGTTGTTCTTGCCTTTAGTTTATTACATGTGTTTTTCCCTCTCTCTCAGGTTGATGAAACAGGTGTGGAAGTTAAGGACATAGAATTGGTCATGTCACAAGCAAATGTGTCAAGAGCAAAGGCAGTCCGAGCCCTGAAGAACAACAGTAATGATATTGTAAATGCTATTATGGTAAGTGTCCAAGCCTTGATTCCTGACTCCCTGGAGTGACCTGACCAATTATGGGTGACTTGATTTTCTTATGTTTATTATCAGCCAATTAGGAAACCTCATTCCAAAGCCTGTCTTGAGTTGCCTTAAATTTTAGTGACCTGAATTCTGTCAGTTTGCCTATTATACCTCTGATTATCTCTTTTCTCTTACAGGAATTAACAATGTAACCATCTAAAAAGGAAGACCCTTTTTTGTGTGTTTCAAAAGAGTTACTGCAGCTTGGTTTGAAATTTGTACTGTTTCTATCATTAATAAAGTTATGGCTTCTTGTGGGATGAACTCAGTGGGTGCTTGATCTCTTCCCCCCAGAAAGCAAAAAGACTCTAGAAATGAAAGCACATTTATTACTCTTAAGACCTCAGCTTCAGTTGAAAAGATTTAATGCCACAGATTACCCCTTAAAATCTCAGCCTTTTCCTTTCTGGTAAGAAGGAAAGTATTGTATGTACCAGGCTATCTGTTAAGACCTTTTTTTCTTCTTTTTTTTAATCTTTATTGTTGAAAGTATTACATATGTCCTCTTTTATCTCCCATTGACACCTTATAGCTCACCACAGGCCTTTGCCACCCTATTGTGTAGGACCTTCTTGTCTTCAGAGACTACAACTTAATTGTTATATTTCTTGTTTTCAGTTTCTTTCCCAGATGTTAAGCATTATCATATGCTGATTCTTCTTTTTTTTTTTTTTTTCTTTGTTTTTTTTTTTAAATATATTTTATTGATTTTCCACAGAGAGGAAGGGAGAGAGATAGAGAGTTAGAAACATCGATGAGAGAGAAACATCGATCAGCTGCCTCCTGCACATCCCCTACTGGGGACGTGCCCGCAACCCAGGCACATGCCCCCGACCGGAATCGAACCCGGGACCCTTCAGTCCGCAGGCCGACGCTCTATCCGCTGAGCCAAACCGGCTTCGGCTGCTGATTCTTCTTTATTTAATAATTAGCTCCTTCTCTAACCTACAGTCTTTCTGAACACTTTGGACCTTATCTTTCCTTTATGAGAGGCAGTGCACATTGGTTACATTTTGACATGTAAGAGCTTGAATAGAGGATTGGAGAGATTACATCATGGATGTGATGAAAAGACCACACTTTGTAGAACATCAGAAGCTACCTTATGAAGGGAAGGATTTTGATTATTATATACAATGCAAACACTCTGCTCTCTCACATTTTAATCTGCAAAGTAAATTATGATTAGGGTAGCCTTAATCATGCTAAGACAATGAGTGAAAACCAGAACTGTACCAGGCAAACGTACATGTGATTACCCAGTTTATGATAAATATAAATAGTGTTATAGAAGTCCTAAGAAGAGTAAGGTTAAACTTTCTGGGTTTAGGTTGTAATATGGTCTGGGGTAAAGCAAGGAACTAAAATTTGGGAATAGGAAGGCTATAAGTAATTTAAAGGAAGAATCTAAAATGAATAAGTGATACACCTAGAAGGAATGTTAGAAAGGAAGATTAACATCATGGAAGATTTTTGGATCTAAAACTTATAGACATTTCATTGAATCCAGTTTTCTCGGTTCCTATGAGAGTATTATTTTAGTGATGTGAAAGTTAAGTACCAAAGAGGTTAAATAACTTCCCCAAAGACAGTCACTAAAAGTATTGTATGTACCTTTTCTTTGTGGCAGGCTATCCTGGAGAAGCACAAATTGACTCCTGACTGGGAATGATGTCCTGCTTCCATTTCACTGGGATAGAACAGATTAGTTTTATTAGGCTAACAATAGGCCCCTAGGCTGCCAAATCTGAGACAGCCAGTAATTCTCACTTCAGGAAGAAACTTAGGGATACTGTATTAACTCAAAATTTGCTCATCCTTCCTTCTGTACAGTTAACAAACTGCCAATTCTTGGTTACTTTTTTAGAGAATTGTATTGTTCAAGGCTATTACAGCCACCAATGCTATAGTTCTGTTTCTTCCCACCTCAAGGACCTTGCTATTGCTAACCCTTTCTACCATTGATTCCTTTCCCTTAGCCATTTTTCCCACCATCCTTGAAATGTACAACTAACTTTCTTTGTCACAGAATGATTATGGAGTGTATAGGTTAAACCTTTTGACGAGGAATTACTCCTTCCTGGTTCTCAAACTGATTAAATACCTGTGTTCAAATATTCGGTAGACCATTTAACAATGATACCTTAACGTCTGGCTTCATCTATAAAAATAGGCCTACTACAAAACATATAGGATTGTTGAAAGTATTTGCTAAGAATCTGAAACTGGCACAGGTTTACTAAATGACCCTTATTTTTTAGGGGGGGGGGGGGGGGGATGTAGTAGACCAGTTTTAGTTCCTTAGCTATATTCTCACCATGTTTCTACCACTCAAAAATTGATTTTTTAAATTATTTAATATTTGAAAGCATGTCTTCCTGCAAATTGCTTTTCACTTCAACTTTATTTCCAAGAACTATCAATGGAGATAGATGTAGTTCTTTCCATTACCTATCCAATCCACTGTAGTCTCCCTTTTAACCTTTACCTCTCCACCAAATAAATAGTTCTCGTCAGGGTCACCTAGTTGCTAATTCCAGGGGACACTCTTCATGCATGGCTACATTTGTCTTTTCCTTCCTCAACTTAGTGTCTTTAACATCATTCTTGGTTTCTCTCAAATCTGATTCATTTGAGATCCACAAAATTAGTTTCATTATCTACCCCATCTAAATTTTTCCATATATATTTCCTGCTAACATGAACGACACAGCTATCCATTTGGTCATACAAAAAGGAAACCTAGTCTTTGGAACTAACGATGTTGGGGAAATGATATCCATGAGTAAAAGAATGAACTACAAGTGGATGAAAGACCTAAAACCATAAAACTCAAGAAAATTGGAAAAGCTTCATGTCATTAACACCAAAAATAGGCAACAACAACAAAATTGGATTTCACCAAAATTTATCTGTCAAAGGACACAAGTCAACAGTAATAAGAACACACAGATTGAAAAATACTTGGCAATAAGAGATTAATATTCAGAATATATAAAGAACAAAACATTTAAAAATGGGTCAAGGACTTAAAATGTACCACTCATGCATTAGAAAGATGACTATCAAAAAATGAGTTGCCCAGCCAGTGTGGTTCAGTGGATTGAGCACTGTCCTGTGCACCAGGATGTCATGGTTTAATTCCAGTCAGGGCACATGCCAAGGTTGTGGGCTCAATCCCCAGTAGGGGGTGTGCAGGAGGCAGCCAATGAATGTTTCTTAAAATCAATAAAAACATTTTTTTAAATGAGTGTTGGTAAAGATGTAAAATTAGAACCTCTGCACTGTTGATGGGAATATAAAGTGGTGCAGCTGCTATGGAAAGCAGCATGGGAGTTTTCAACAATTACCATGTGATCTAGCAATTCCATTTCTGGGTGTGTGTGTTTTTTTTTAATATGTTTTATTGATTTCAGAGAGGAAGGGAGAGAGAGAAACATCAATGATGAGAGAAAATCATTGACTGCCTCCTGCACACCCCACAAAGGATTGACCCTGCAAACCAGGCATGTGCCCTGACCCAGAATCAAACCATGACCTCCTGGTTCATAGGTCAGTGCTCAACCACTGAACCACACCAGCCAAACCACTTCTGGATATTTAATTGAAAGCCTCAGAGACATGTGTACACCCAATCAGCATTATTCACAGTAGCCAAAAAGTAAAAGCAACCTAAGTGCTCCTCACAGAGGAATGAATAAACAAAATGTGTGTGTATATATCCTCCTATATAATAAAAGGCTAATATGCAAATAGACCAAATGGCGAAACAACCAAACAACCAGTTGCTATGAGGTGCGCTGACCACCAGGGTGCGCACACGGACCATGGTGGGCCAGTGGAGCAGGTGAGCAGGGGCACCAGACCAAGGCAGAACTCAGGTTGCTGTCATCAGGGCGAGCCTCTGATGGTTACTGAAAATTCTTTGCTCCTGTGTGCCACGGTCCTGCCCAGCACTCGCACCTGCTGCCAGTGCAGGAGCCACTGCTCATACCCACTGCCGGCGCTGGCCCAAATCACTACCAAGCAGGGCTGCTGGCAGAGGAGCTGGGGGGGGAGGGCACGGAGAATGGGTCGAGACCCACCCCTGTGCCCACCGCAGCCTCATAGCCTATAGTTCCTTTCAAGGTGCACAAATTCAAGCACTGAGCCCCTAGTTATATTTATAATGGGATATTATTCAGCCTTAAAAAAAGGAAATTCCACAACATGGATGAACCTTGAGGACATTAAGCTAAGTGAAATAAGCCAATCACAAAAAAACAAATATGATTCCACTTAGATTAGTCAAATTCATAGAGACCAAGTAGAATGGTGGATGCTGGGGGCTGAGGAAAATTGTTTAATGGTGCAGAATTCCAGTTGCAGAAGATGTAGTAGTTCTAGGGATGGATAGTGGTGATGGTTGGAAAACAATGTGAACATACTTAAGTAATCCCACTGAACTGTACATTTTATGTTAAGTGTATATTTTTATTTTTTTAATTAAATCTTTATTGTTGAAAGTATTACACATGTCCCCTTTTCCTCCCATTGCCCCCTTCTAGCCTGCCCCCATCCCCTGCCCCAGGCCCTGAACTACCCTATTGTCCGTGTCCATGGGTTATGCATACATGCATACAAGTTCTTTGGTTGATCTCTTCCCACTCACCCACCCAGTTTTAAAGGAAAGAAACCTATGTCATCCTAATCCTGTCACAGGCCCCTTTTTCATAGACATTCCCTACCAGATTTTCAAAATATTTCTGTTTATCCCCCTCTTCATTCTTTTCTTTTTATAATATATTATATTGATTTTTTACAGAGAGGAAGGGAGAGGGATAGAGAGTTAGAAACATCAATGAGAGAGATCGATCAGCTGCCTTCTGCATACCCCCCAGTGGGGATGTGCCCGCAACCAAGGTACATGCCCCCGACCAGAATTGAACCTGGGACCCTTCAGTCCATAGGCCGACGCTCTATCCACTGAGCCAAACCGGTTCGGCCCCTCTTCATTCTTCATGTCATTGCCTTAATTAGAACTGCCTGGATAGGCTATTGCTATAGTCTTTTGTTCTACCCTCCACTCAGAATCTGTCTACGAACTTGCCTCCATAAGGTGGGCTGGTTCTAAAATCCTCTCCCACTAAAAGCCCATTGAATAAAGCAGCAACTTTCAAACTTTAAATCATTTAAGTCATTAAACATTTTGTTCAAAATAAGTCAAATCAAAATTCTAGCCCTGGCCAGTGTGGCTCAGTTGGTTGCGTGTCATCCTGTGCACC